GGATAGGAGGAATAAATAACGGAGGATAGGAGGAATAAATAACGGAGGATAGGAGGAATAAATAACGGAGGGCGCTGATTCTGACCCGGTTTGTTGCGTTGATGTTTTTTCTGGCAGCCGGTCAGTTTGAGCTGCACTCACTGATGGGTTCATGAGAAAGCGACACTCTGGCTCTGAGAGCGAAAACTTCTGACGTGAAGACGGGAGGAATGATGGAGAGGAAACATGGAGGATGAGTTTAACTTAAAAATTTGCTTCTGTAATTCACACAACAACTTAAAGTGCATTCACTCGGTTCAATTAGGGACCAAAATTTGTCACCAGCAGCTGCTGTGGTTCTTTTTCACACTGCATTGTGTTAAACCAACCAAACCCTTTGAGCAACCTGATCCCCTCTTCGCCTGTGGGGGCGCTGCACCAAGAACCACTAAAGGAAACGACACTAAAACCTCTGAAGAAGACACTCAGCGCAACTTCCTTTTTCACAAAATGTAAACAAAAGTGGAATAGCGTTAGATTTTTGTGGTTGTAGGATTTCTCTTATGTTTTTCAGTAAAATCCATGAGTCATTTCTCCTGCTAGCGCTGGACTAGCTTGTTTGTTTTGGTTGTATTTACCCAGAATTAGCCCAGCGCTAATGGGAGAAACGTTTCAGTAAAGGCAAGAGAAATCTTACAGCCACTAAAATCTGATGCTGCTCCATTTTTGTTTACATTTTGTAAAGAAGGAAGTAGTGTTCAGTGTCTTCTTTGGAGGTTTTCGTGTTGTTTCCTTTTGTGGTTCTTGGTGCAGCGCCCCCACAGGCGAGGAGGGGAACAGGTTTCTTTGACAGTAAGAGAGCCGCAGCAGCAGAACATGTAACAAATGTCTACTCGATTATCAGGTGGGAAAACATTCTTAGATCCAGCAGGACAAAAGAAAAGTAAGGCACGGTGTGTTATTTGGAGAACAAGCAACACATTGCTTAACAACATGAATATGAAACCATTGAAATTCATTTCAAATTTTCAGAAAAGCAAACTGGCTGAATGACTTTCATCCTAAATCTTCCTCAAAAGCCATTTAGTGTTTGATAAATGTGGCAAGGTTTAAAAGTTAACTCTTCTGCATAGCTGAAGATTTACTGTGAAATTGAACCACAAAACAACGCGAGTTCAGCCAAAGTTCCCACTCAAGTGAAGGCTTGATGCAGCTTTTCTGCAGAGATGAAACCTGATATCTGAAAATAAAAGCACAACACAGCAGCAGGCCATGAAAACTAACGGGGGATCAGAAGATTACAACAGAAATGACATGAACTGAAAATCACATCCAGCCAGACTGAAGCCACGACCAACATCTCTGCTGCTCTGTCCCTGCTCCCTCAGATTCAGTGTTGAGAAAAATACTTTATTTAATAATCAATTATTAATTGATGTAAACAGACTGAAAAAAAAATACAATTTGCTGAAAAAAAAAACATTATCAAAGCAGCAATAAAGCCAAAACTGTCCAAAAAATATATACATTTTGCAATTAGAACAAAAACCCTCTGTCTGCAAATACAATAGAACCGTAATATTTATGTCCACTAAATAAAAAGACACAAACACATTTTTTTCTCAGTGTCTGAAGTTAAAGCTGGACAAAATTTTCTTGTTTTAGTTTAGATAAAATCACCAAAACTATTTCTATTTGGCAGAAAACTTGTCGAGTTGGTCAGTAGCTATGCTATTATGACAAAGTACTAGGGCCAAAATAATAAGTTAAAATAAAAAAAATAAAAATAAAATTGTGAAAATAAAGTCATTGGATTACCAGACGGCTGCAGCCTCAGGCTGTCTTGTGTTGTTTGTCTTTTTGTTTGTTCTTTGGATGCCAACAAAAACAAATATGCTTCTGTTTGATGTCAGTAGAGGCTGATTGTGGCTCTAAAGTCATAATATTATGACTTTCTCATACATAATTTCTCGTAATACAATTTTTTTTTATTATATTTTCAGTTTTTTAGCTTGGCCCTAATTCCATTTCAGGTAAAAAAAAAAAAACTTTCTTATTTCAAGAAGGAATTGAATATTTGTTTATTTGCACCTTATAATATATTTCTACCATTGTATAAAAAAGAGTTAAATAAAACATCTTGCAGAATGTGGTGATTTTTTTTCTTTTTTGTGTCCAATTAATCGTCAGAATAATTGATAACTAAAACAATCCTTAGTAGTCTGTAGCAGGTAGGATACTGACTGCTGTAAGCTAACCTATCCGTTTACTCAGCATAACTTTGAATTGAGGCATTAAACAGATTAAACATCAGTGATATAATAATAACAACACGAATCACATGAAAGCAAAGGAAACTCACCGTACAGGAAGGCGAACCAGTTATTCCCAACTGTCAGCGCTGGTCCAGAACGCCGAATGGAGTCATATCTGACGCTGCTTTCTGTGTGTGTGTGTGTGTGTGTGTGTGTGTGTGTGTGTGTGTGTGTGTGTGTGTGTGTGTGTGTGTGTGTGTGTGTGGGGATGGGTTTGGCAGCCGCCTGTTCAGTCCTGATAGCGCTCGGTCTTGCAGAAGCTCTGCTGGGTTTTAGAACAATGTGGAAACTGTTTCTTCTTCTTCTCCTCATTTGTTGTGTGAGAAACGTTTATTTTTCCAGCTCTGCCTCTCAGCTGTCTCTCCACTCCCTTTTCTGGGTTTCTCTCCTCCTCTTTCGGCCCTTCCCACACTTCTCCCTCTGTCATCCATAGATATTTTATATTTCTTTTTATTTTAACATCCTCTGTAAGTGAATGTTTCTCAAACTGTCATTTATTCATGCAGCTACATTTCTTTTTTTCTCTTTCTGACATTTAAACTGCTGTTTTGTTTGTCTCTTTTTTAAGTTCTCCCATTTTTAGGGTTTTTTTATAGAAAGGTCTCCCACTCTTCCCTTCCTCCACTCTTTTCTTCCCCTTCCCCCCGGCTCCGCTTGGTGAGTATCATGTTTGGCTTTAAACTACAGAACTTGGCTCCGACTCAGACCTCATACATCAGTGATCTGATTGATGGCCACGCTTTTCTCCAAATAAATATTGCACCCTGGAAGGAGGGTCACCACCTCCGTGTGTTTGGAAATAACCTAAAACATGTTTAGTTCCTGACTGGGAGGCGTTTGAGTCCAATTATTAAGAACAAAGGAGTTTAATGTTTGTTGGGCATCTAATTATTTGTGTTTTATGCATTGCTTTAATTGCAGTCATGTTTGTGGTTCACACGGCCATTTTGAAGAAATGCGCAGCCCATGAGAATAAAGAGAAAAATGTGGAGTTGTTAAAAGCCACCACATCCAGCCCCGTTTCTCTCTTCTGGCTCTGAGAAAACCAGACTTTCAGTCTCTGAAACTTGCAGTTAAATTAAAGCCGTCCTGACAGCCTCATTCAGGATGTCTTCAGTCCTGATAGTCCAGTAGGTTTGGTTGGATTGGAGGCCAAATTTTCAGCTGTACTGAGTCAAACCAACCAAACCCTTTGAAAAACCTGTTTCCCTCCTCACCTGTGGGGGCGCTGCACCAAGAACCACTGAAGGAGAATACACAAAAACCTCTGAAGAAGACGTTGAGCACAACTTCCTTTGTGAAATGCAAACAAAAATGAAGTGGTGTTAAATTTTAGTGGTTGGCAGATTTCTCAAGCCATTTCTCCCTCTAGCATTAACCTACTGTGTTTGTTTTAGTTGTATTTACCCAGAATGCCCTGCTCTGTAGTCCACTTCCTGCTTTTGAGACGATATCTGGTCCACTTGGTTCACATATACATTCAACGTCACCAGAGTTCACATGGATTTTCTAAGCTGAGCTCCAGCACGTTTGGTCAGCTGGTTTTAACACTGTATGCGTTTTACAATGGCTGCTGGAAAAGACAAGTGTTTTGTTGTTAAATTACCATCCTGAAACCACTTAGTGGGTCCTTGTTTGTTGTGCTGGAGACTCCACTTCTGCTTTTCAAAGACACACGGTTGTTTGATTACAGTTAGGAATTCCTTTATGCAATAAATGTAATTAACATGTTTTGTAACCCATAAATCTACCCTAACCTGTTCAAGAAAGTACTGTTGGTCACCTTTAGTGTCTGAATGCTGTGAAAATGTGAAATAAAATTCATGGTTTATAAACACAAACCTGGCCAGTAAAGCTGAATCTGAGAAAGCAGCCATTTCTCTATTACAACTCTCCGTGACACACCTTTTAGTTTTCACAGGAGATGTTTGTGTTGCGACTGCACGCCTTTAAAACGCCTCTGTGATTTAAACACGTTTCATTCATCTCAACATTAAATCTGCTTACAATGTTACCATGTTTAATAAAAAGAAGTGTCACCCAGTGTGTAACTGAAAACAGACACACATAAATATAGATATACAAATCTGCCTGGTCAGTAAGACGCTGACACACACACCCACACCCACACACACACACACACACACACACACACACACAGACTCGGTATTCACACATGCTGCATCAGCTGGCCCGTTCACAGCCTCACCAACACATGTGAGGCACAGATAAGAGCGAAGAGACGCCGGCATCCTGTTTATGCTGCTCCACTCCCTCTGCACACGCAGCAGCTGATGATCGGATATACGGGCGTGTTTCTGCTGCACGTCTGCTGCGACCAGAATGAAGGGTAAAGCTGCAGTATTATGTGTTTTCAGGCACATAGTGCCAGGTAACTGTGTTGTTCAGTTGTTATAAAAATGCTCTATATCAAATATGACAAAAGAAATTTTACTTTGTAATTCAACGCCTTGAAATTGTGTCTCTATTCCTCCTCTTTGCTCCGCCTTCAGGAAGTCATCCCAACATGGCTCCTCTATTAACCCTTTAATGTTTTTACTAGCGCTGCTCTGAGAAGCAGCTCCTATAATGAGCTCAGCAGACACACCAGGTGTTTGCTAATTGCTGCTGGCTAGTCTGAAGGAGCTGAGTGGGGAGGAGCTACACCTTGAAGGCGGAGCTAGGTTCAACCAGGTGTTTTACACAGCTGAATGGTTGCCATGGAGACAGAGTAGTTAAGGATTTCTCAAACATGCATGAAAGAGTCAAAGCAACACTCTGGGTTTGTTTCTGATGAGGGAAAAAGTCACAACATGACGGAAAGATAAAAAACAGTCGGCTTTAGATTATTCTGCCCCTTTAAGGTTTTCCACTTGTCAGAAAGAAAGTTTGGGTAAACAACTGGAACTGGTTGTATTCATAAATAAAGTTTTTTCTCAATAAAGCAACTTTTTACTCTTAATTTTGAGACATTTTTTATGGTAAACTTGCATCTTTATCTCATATCCTGTCTTAAGAAAATTGTTCAACAACTTTTGCTAAAAAACCACAACCAAAAAGTTAAATTTAAAACAATATTAATCAGATGACTCATTAAATCAGAGACAAACAGACTTGAACTATGCTTCGACTTGGTTTTGTTTTTAGAGCAACTTTACTCATATTATTAATGCACCGTTGGTCCTTCATGGAAATAAAAATCTTATTTTCCCCAAAACATATTCATAATTTCTCTATTTATTTTTCACCTCATAAGTCTAAAATCGATGCTTAAGTCAAATTAACTTTAGAAAGAAAAAACACAGGCTACAAATTTGGTTAAAGCAATAAAAACCTTTAATGATATAAAAATGAATTTTTATTGCCATTTTTGATGTAGATATGTTTTTTGTGCTGCAGAAACAGAAACGTATTTTCTACCTCTGTAGCATGATGCCCTCTGCTGTTAGCTACTGAGTGACACATTTTTACCATCAGACCAAACTTTGTTTTTCATGAAAAAGCAGGAAAATGTTTTTCTGTTTAGATCAGAAATCAGTCAGATTCTCCAAGAGGCTTTCTGAAATGATGCATCAGTTGTAAATGTCATTAGATCTGCATGTTTTATTTTTAGATTTTGTTCACATAATCACTTTGTCTTCATGTCAGTGGTTCCCAACACGGGGGCCCCGGCCCTTTAAAAGGAGCACGAAGAAGCTGAGGGAGGATCCAAGGTTTCAGAGGCAAAGAGAGAAAACTACAAACAAAAGTCCAGGTGAAATTTACTTTATTTGTCTTTTATTATTAATTATTTAAGTTAAACAAGTTTGCATAAAAATAGGTGAGTCTCAGAATTTTGACTTTAATCTCAGAATCCTAATTCTGTGCCAATCTATGTCAAAATCCAAATGAATAATCAAACATTATTAGGTGTCAACTATGTTGCCAGTGTTTGAAAATAATTGTCTCTTCCTTGTGGTAGGATTTGTAATCCTTCATGTTATCCACATTTAGAGATTAATCTCAGAAATGTTCTGTTAAAAAATTGGACTATTAAAAATTCCTTTCTCAAATGTATTTGTTGATTTGAGCTTTAAGACTAGATTTTCCTCATGTAACAAACAATTTAAATATTCTGATTTTGAGATTAAAGTCAGAACTTCTTCATGGCACTAATATTCCTCCGTAAACTGAGGCAGTATGCTTTAGGAGTCCTGACTTACTGATGTTACCTACAGTTTAGTTATTAAAGAAATCATCAGATTTTCATCAAATATTTGCAGCTTTTGAGATAATTTGCCATCCTGATAGTTTTCTCTTTCTGCTGCTGCTAACAGTAAACATGTCAATAAAACTGAATAGGTGCTCATTTAGCCAGCTGATGGTTTTGATTACATGTTGTAAAAGACAGAGTATTTAACGGGTTACCCATGAATCCTTCTATTTCACCACAGGCTTGTGAAAATTTTAATATTTCAGGGTGGAAATTCTGTCGTTTCGGGATTCAAACATTGTTTGTAAATAGAAATAAATCCCCAAACCTCAGAAAATTATTCTGAAACTTTTCAAAGCAACAATTTGTAGCTCAGGATTTCTCTGAGAAATAGCTAATATTATTATTACTCGTTTGTACTTAGAAAGCAAACATTACAGACTATCAGAGAGAGGTATTGATTGACAAATAACCAGTTAGAGAACAATTGGTTCTCTAACTGTTCTCAAAAAGAAAATTAAAAAATTTAAATGGATACAAAGACAAAACATTTCAGCATATTCCTCTGAAATGCATCTGTCTTTCTCTCTCTGCTGTTGTTTTGAGCACGTTTCAATCCCCCTCCACAGCAGCGCCATGGCGACATGCCCAAGACTCGGCGCATCAGCATCCGTTGCCGTGGCAACAGCCATGGACCAGGCCAAGGTTCCCCGAGAGCAGCTGCAGCAGCGGAGCAGCATCTGTCTGCACGGATTCAGACAGGAGCGACGAAACATGGCCGCCTTCACTGCCAACCGCTTGTTAAAGAAACACGAGGAAAACTCGTTGCATGTCATTATTTTACATTCGCACCGTAAACAGCAGCGATGCAGCTTCGCGTCCTCCCTGTGGAATCTGTTGTCCTGAAAAACTAAACCCAGAGTTTCATCGCTGCTGGTTTTCACCATTTAAAGTCAACTAAACATGTCAAATTGACTAAATGAGCTTCATTTCTTCGGGGTAAATAAAGACATTTACAGGGGAAGGACACTGAAATAGTTAAAAGTTAATATATAGAATAATAAAAGCAGGGCTGCATCTATTATTTTAGCTATCGATTAATCAATTATTCTGATGATTAATCAATTATTCTGACGATTAATTGGTTAAAATGCCCCCATCCTGCAGATTTTTCATACAATGTTAGAAATACATTAAAATATGCAAATAAAGGAATAGTTCAGTTTCTTTTTTAAATAATAAAACATTTAATTGCCTGAGACCCGACAATGGCATTCCTTTAGTGAACGCTTGACATGAACTTGTGAAAAACTTTCCTGGCTGATCTGGCATCAGCACATTGTTCAGATAATCTAGTGACTATTTTTGTATTAAGTGGTTTATAATTGGGTAGAAAAAGTTTTTTTTTTTCCAGAATTTAAACCACGTGAAATTAAAACTTACCCAAAACTCACACGCTCTGAATATGTTGTTTTTTTTTTTCACCAAATGGCTTTTTGAGGTTGTATTCTCCAGTTAATGACTGATCGATTACTAATTTAGTTGACTGTTTTAATAAGCGATTAATCACGATTAATATTATTAGTCCTTTCAGCTCTTTTATGTCCCTCTGAACTCTAAACGGACGAATAAATAAAACCATCCAGATAACCGCTGTGAGCTTAAATATTTTATCAATCAAATCAAAGTTGTATTTATCTGTTTACCGGCAAATTACATCAACCAAGCTCTGCAGTTTTTCACGATTTTTGGATGATAGAAATTAGCGCAAAATTTTCATATCCTCAGATTTTTTCTCACTATGCCCAGCTGTGAGTTTGTTTTTGCAAATTTTACACAATTATCAAAATCGCTGGGTTCAAGTGATGCTAACTCTGACCTGCAGGTGGCAGTATTTTTTAATTGCACCACTCTGCTGCCTCAGCAAGTTTCAAGTCAAAAAATTTCAAACTCAGAAATTTAAAAGATTTTTGAATGTTTTGCTGACAAATCTTTTGACTTTTCAAACTCAAAAATGTCATTTTTTTAGATTAATCTTTATTTCAGAATTATCTCACAAATTTTGGCCTTGTCAAACTCAGAAATTTAATTTAAATTTTTTAGAAAACTTAATTTGCTTGTTTCTATCTAGAATGAGTTTAATATTCTGTTGTTTATATGAGCGCAAAGATTACAAAATGCTTGCAAATATTTCTAAATTAGCAAAACAAATTCAGACATTTTTATCACAAAAACTCATCAAAACAAATATAAAATCCTGGAGGGACTTATCAGTGTGAAAATATGTTCAATATAATTTAATTTTAAGAAGTACTGATCAAACTGCAGAGACCGTTATTTACTAAAATTTTAACAGTTTGTTGTGTTTTATCACAAGCAGCGCTTTGAGAACATTTATGCTTTTGATGCGGCCCAAATTGAAAAGGAGTTTGCCGCTCCTGCTGCAGAGTAAAAATAAAGTAGGCCACCAGGTTGATGCTCAAAGCTGCAGCAGCCAACTAAAAATACTGCAAACATTTTTAGCATGTGAACATGAGAGCTCATCTTTACAGGTTTAGCATGTTAGCTAAAGCTGTAGCAGAAACAGAAACTTTATCGACCCCATTGCTGGGATCCCTCCATGTTTTTCTAGTAAGTTATCTTATTTTGATAAGGAACAAATCATAACCGTTATTTTCCCCCTGAAATATGACTGGTTATACCTGGAAATTAACAAAAGTTCAACTTTTGGAGATGAAGATGTGTTTTTGCAAGATTTTATGAAAAGGTTTAAGAATAACATGCTCCAGTTTGCATTTTGTGCAAGTTTTGCATACAAATTACACATGTACACATTTTAATGATCACCTAAAATATTTGAAAATAAATTTTGCTTTTTGTTAGTTTAGTAATCTGGTGTAATAAATCTCAAAGATCTTGTTCAGCCAAAGTTTTTCCAAGTAGTTTGTGACTTTGAAGGAGGAACTTAAATGCAAATTTCTGATCCAAAATAATTTTTGGACTGAACAAAAGGATTAAATCTGGAAAAAAACAGAAGAAAAATCAACATTTACATGAGATGTTGTATGTTTAAAGTAACAAGTCAAGTCAAAACACGATGCGCTTGAACATATAGAGGATTCCTTCAAATGACATCTGTAGTTTTTTTATTTTTCTCCTTTAATTTCATCATCAGAAACAGCAGAAATGTCAATGTTATACTCCTTATGCAAGTCATGAAGGACCTCATGATCCAAAGACGTTTCAACTTTTAGTTTCTGTTTTCTTTCTGTCTCAATCAGTTCTTGATTGTTTTCTTACATATCCTGTTTGTTCGGTTTTTTTCACTAGATGCGTTTCCATTCACCACATAGTTGCACAATTTGACATTTCCAACATAAATTTCCTGAATGGAATCACCTCAATTTAGAAAAAACTCTTGTTTTTTTAATATATTTTAGCAATGGAAACATCTTTTTTTCAGAGCAAAATATGTTGTTTCTTAAAGAGGAATTATTTTCTATTTTGGAGGGACATAGCAAGAATCAAGAAACTATGTTATAAAAATGCTTTAAATATCAAATATGGCTTAAAAGAAATATAACTTTGTAATTTAACTCCTTGAAGTTGGGCCTTGGACTCTTTAAAAACTCCTGTTCTTACAGGAACACTGCCTTAAGGAAGTCATCACAACATGGCTCCTCTATTAACCCTCTAACATTTTTACCAGCATTTCACTGAAAAGTGGACAGTATAATTAGATTCAAAGATCCACCAGGTGTTTGCTAATTGCTGCTGGTTAGTCTGAAGGAGCTGAGTGGGGAAGGAGCTGTGCCTTGAAGGTGTGTCCACATCCACCGAGGCGTTTTGCACAGCTGAATTGTTGCCATGGAGATTAAAGGATTTCTCAAACATGCATGAAACAATCAAGGCAACACTCCAGGTTTGTTTTAGATGACGTTATAACATGATGGAAAGATAAAAAAAAGTTGATTTCACGCCATGCTGCCCCTTTAAAAACGTTTAAGCCCATTTCATGTTTTCAAACATGTTCATTTTAAAGGGGAAGTAATAAGCAAAATTCACTTTTGCACCTCTTTGTACTTACATTTGGGTTTCCACTGCATCTAAAAACAACCCAAGCACTTAAAAAACATCGTCAACATTGTCAATATGTTAATGTTTTTTGCTGTCTGAAAATGAGCTGTTTCAAAGACCTAGGAACCCCAGCTAAGCCCTGCCCGTTACCAAGCAACCATAGCAGAGTTCCGCCCGCTACCTAGCAACCCCAGTAGAATTCCGCTCATCACCTAGCAACCCCAGCAGAGTCGGGGGGGAAAATAACTGGTGATTTAGCTTAAAGTCAGATAGATTTGGATGATTTGTCTTTTCATTAATAAAAGCATTTTCAGCATTTTTTCCTCTGATATTAAAATTTTAAACGCGGTCTTTCGCCAAAAAATAAAAAAGCCCAGAAAAAGTTGTTATGGTGGGGAAACAATTTTTCACAGTTTAAACATTACGTCGTAAACTCAAACCTTTAAATAAATGGCAGTGGGGTTTTGTTTTAGGCATCTTTAAAACCACAAAATGAGAGAAAGGAGGAGGTTTGCTGCTGCGTGGCGGATCATTAGCTCACTAGGTGTTACAGCGCGAGGTCAGACGACTACCACTACAAACACAAACATACAGAAATAGTTTTATTTGGTCGTTTATGCGGACGTCCTGCTGAGTTCTGTGCTAGAGGAGGAGGAAATTCAAAAGGAAACTCTCTGAACTAATCTGGACATTTTTGGGAGTGTGGTGAGCGGAAAAAAAAAAAAAACGGCGCTGGGTCTTCCAGCTCTTTCTGGGCTCAGGGCCAAAGCGACTGGAGGAAGGAAGGCGGGAGGCAGAGGAGGAGGGATGAAGAGGAGAGGAAGGAGAAAGCAGACAGGATCTGCAGGGATTGCAGGAGCACATTAACTCTTTCCTGACCAGAACATCTCCTCTTTCTTAGCTTCCCCCATTTTACGATTAAATTTTCCTTCAATTTGGTGATTAAAACATCTCCTGTTCCCAAGGAAAACTGTTCTGTTCAGAAACTTTAGAGGAAATCAGAGTTTAGAGTGTGAAATCTTGTAAAAATCTGCAAACACCTGCTGGTTTTTAGTAGCGCTGCAGCAATTATGAGCAACTGTTTGTCCTCTGTTTGAGAACAAAGGAAGAGGAGGAGGAGATGATTTTGGACTTTAAGGAGAAAATGCAAAAATATGGAGGAAGTTTTGAGTTTTTCAGCTAACTATTATGAACTGCAAAAGGTTAGAAAATAAGCAAAAAATGACTTTGAACAATGCTGAAAATTGTTCTTTACTAATAACAGATGAATATCAAACAGAAACTTCACCTCAACCTGCAAAAACACAAAATATTACCGAGAATATTTGGTCTATTTTCTAGTACAAATATCTAATTACACTTAAATAAGACAAAACTAACTTACAATTTTCATCAGTGTTATTGAATTATTGTTTGAAAACAAACTCTTGTATCTTTATGAAAAGTTACTAGTAAGTTAGTTTTGTCTCATTTTAAGTGTACCAAGATATTAGAAAAAAAATACTTAGATTTTGTGTTTTTTGCAATGAATCCAGTGACCAAACTACAAAAACACAAAATCTTCCCAATTGTTTTTGGTCTGGTTTCTAGTGCAAATTTTACACTCAAATAAGACAAAACTAACTTATTAGTAGCTTTTCAGCAAGAAATAGGAGTTTGTTTTAAGGCAACAATTTATTAATATTGATTTTACCTTATAAGACATTTTTCTCATGTTTTAAGTGAAATAATCTCTACCTTAGAAAAAAATCCGTTTTAAGGAATTATCTTAAAAGAAGCTCATGTTTCTTTTCTATTTCTTTATTGCTTAGAAGTAAAAGTTACTTCTAAGCAGGGCTGGTCTAAAACCTTTTGGGGCCCCATAGAGTTACATTTGTGGGCCCCCCACTCCAACATGTC